AAAAATATATATATATATATATATATATATATATATATATATTTACAATAATGCATGTCATTGACTTCTATCCATTATACTCAAAACCTGTTTATATAGAGACGCTGTTGGTGTAGTAACAGATTGAGGAGTCTGTATAGTTCAAATAGTCACAAAATACGCAAAGAAAAAAAAACACCTTGCATACCTAGATATCTTGTATTCTTTAATGGATATTTAAGGACTAATCATATAAAAAGTTGGTAATCCAATATTACACATAAAACTTTAAAATCGTTAACTTTTTCTATTTGATTTTAGTCAATCAAATCCCTTTTGGTAATAATATTCTGCACAGGTTAGTTTTATAAACCAACTAACCCATCCGATATCATGTGGCATATGGATTATGTACACTGAACACTAGAGGCCAGTGTCTCCTGTGTTAAGATTAGAATCAGTCAGTGTATGGAGAGTGGAGAATTGTCAGATCTTTGAAATTCATGAATTACAAACGGTTGAGTTGTCAGTTCCCCTAAGGCGCTATCGTCTTCTGCTCTCTCTAATTCATACTTTCCATTCTCCATCGCAGAGCATGCCGAGTTTCTGCACTGTAAAGGAAAGAAGTTTACAGACTTTGATGCTGTCCGACGGGAGATCGAAGCAGAGACAGACAGAGTCACGGGAACAAATAAGGGCATATCCTCCATTCCCATCAACCTTCGTATCTGCTCTCCAAATGGTATTATTGTCAGAAAACAAGTGATTCATTTATGTACATTAATGCTCACAAAGGCTGCATTCATCATTTTATTATTATTTCTTGTGATGTCAAAGTTGAATTTTCAGCAGCTGATTCGATGCTTAAGAAACATTTCTTATTAATGGAAATATTGCTTATGCTTAATATTTTTGTTTAAACCATTATCTTTTTTGAAGGATACTTTGATGAAAAGAAAGTTACAAGAAAGAAATCTTTTGGAACATTATAAATGTTTTTTTCTGCAACTTTTGCTCAATTTAGTGTGTTCTTACTGATTTCTTAAAAAAGCTAAAAACAAAACATATAAATGATAGTGAAGGTGTATTTGCTCTCCTTTTTATGGTGTTAATGCCTCAGAGAGATCTCATTTAGATTTTTTCCCCCTTTCTATAAGTATCTCTGACCAAATATTTGTGTCTGTCTTTGTTTTTCTCTTTTCTTTCTGTAGTTTTGAACCTCTCACTGATAGATCTTCCAGGCATAACTAAAGTACCAGTGGGAGATCAGCCCCCTGACATTGAATACCAGATCAGAGACATGATCATGCAGTTCATCTGCAGAGAGAATTGTCTCATCCTGGCTGTCACACCCGCTAACATGGATCTGGCTAACTCTGATGCTCTTAAACTGGCCAAAGATGTGGATCCACAGGGTGAGTGTTCAGTTATATCCCCTCTTGGCAAACTGACATCATCATAATGTCTTTCCTTATTGTTTTTCACCCTGTTCTCCTTGATCTTCCTTTAAGGCCATCGCACCATCGGTGTGATCACTAAGCTGGATCTGATGGACAAGGGCACAAATGTCAGGGACGTGCTGGAGAACAGGTTACTGCCACTACGCAGAGGTACAGCGCACATGTAGAAATGTGCTGTCAGCAGAGGCCCAATGCAGTTTGGTCTAAGACCTGGGCCACTGCCAAGCAAGTCTGCTGCAGGCTATAGTGGCTAAAACTGGGCCAGGTGCAGAATCTTCATGCTTCCTGTTGCTGCCTTAATGCATTAGACACACAGAAGTCCAGCCGTGGAGAAGGGTTAAGACACTCTAGAAATCTTATTCCTCATTTATACAGATCACATACAGATTTACTTCTAGTTGTAGGACATTGACTTTTCACAGTTAGGAGCTGAATGTCCTTCAGGTATCCCATTCTTTTTAACCAATGAATTTACATGACTTTTCTAGTCTTTTATGATTTACTGGAGAAGGTTTAAGGATAAGGAATACGATCGTAATGTTTATCTGTTTTAAAGATTGTTTTGTCTAAATCTTCATGTTAAATCATTTTAAGTCATCTTGAGGCCAACTTGGAAGATTGCCGAGGCCCCCTAGTGGACTCCAGCCCCCTGGTTGAGAACCACTGCGGCTAGTGTAAACAAAATGCGATAATGGTAAAAAATGTGACAGAAACGTACAAATTATTATGTTTAAAAGAAGAAATGTCACAAGATAATAGGATTGAAAAAAGTGCAGGGACAAATTCTAAAATTCAAAAGCATTTTTAATTTCATTAAAGCAACATTTATATTCAATATTTTTTATTCTTTGCATCCTAGTTAAATGTCATGGTACTTGTAAATTGGCTGGTAATGCCAAAGAAATATTTAAAAATATTAAAGCAACTATGTAAGTTTGTACACCCTACTTCTAATAAGGCTTCATTATAAAACAAAGAATATATCTGAATAAAGAGACATTTTCCCCTCTACTCTATTTATTTCTGTCTCCCTGTTGTGACTACAGGTTATGTTGGTGTGGTAAACCGTAGTCAGAAGGACATTGAGGGAAAAAAGGACATCAGTGCAGCTCTGGCTGCAGAAAGACGGTTCTTCAAGTCACATCCTGCATATAGACATATGGCAGACTGCATGGGCACTCTGTACTTACAGAGGCTCCTAAACCAGGTGACGAGAATGATACTACACAGAATATGTCTGAAATACATAGTAGCGCACAGATTAAAAATGGAAAATTATACTTTGAATCGTATTTCTTCACTTTTTTTTTAATTCCTAAACCCCTCTCCATCTCCCTAGCAACTTACCAACCACATTCGTGACACATTACCAGCATTACGCAGTAGACTACAGGGTCAGCTTCTGTCACTGGATAAAGAGGCAGAGGAGTACAAGTGTTTGAACTCAGATGACCCCTCACGAAAGACCAAGGCCTTAATGCAGTGGGTTCACACACACATAAACTCGCTCTAATTCAGAGAGTAAATAAACATGCACAGAAAAACACAAACAAACATGGACACAAACACGCTAGTCTTTATCTTATTGCAATAAACAAGACCTTTGTTTACAGCCTAAACAACAAACACATTGCAGATAAGATCAGAACTGAAGATGCCACACACACAAACACATAATGTTGCTTTGTTGTCCAGGCTGATACAGCACTTTGGGCTAGATTTTGAGAAGCGGATCGAGGGATCTGGGGATCAGGTGGACACAGTGGAGCTTTCAGGAGGAGCCAAAATCAACCGCATCTTTCATGAACGTTTTCCCTTTGAGCTGGTTAAGGTGATTTGTTAAAGATGAATTGATCATTCTTATTTACTTAAATGCCATTCAGAGCTTGGAAATCAGAGCTAATGCTGATTTCCTGTTCACATTCTGCTACATCAGATGGAGTTTGATGAGAAAGAATTACGAAGGGAGATCAGTTACGCCATCAAAAATATCCATGGCATCAGGTACATGTCACAAATATTTATCAGCTGATTTAAAAGGGCACTCAGTCACTTTCTGTTTTCACTGTGTTGGCCGTTATGGCAGTCGTCTTAAAAAGAAGTTCACCCAAAAATGAAAATTCTACTCATCCCCAAACCTGTATGAATTTCTTTCACTGTTGAATACAAAAGAAGATATTTTGAAGAATATTGGTAACCAAACAGTTGACGATAGCCATTGAAATCCGAAGTATGGAAAAAAATACTATGGAAGTCAGTGGTTACCTTCAACTGTTTGGTTACCAACATTCTTCAAAATATCTTCTTTTGTGTTCGGCGAAAGAAAGAAACACATACAGGTGGAAGAAGAGAGTGAATGATGATAGATTTTTTTATTTTTTTTTGGGTGAACTATGCCTTTAAACTGTTTGCCAATCTTATAAGAATATACAATTTATATTTTCATACAGAGAGCTTCTCTGTATGTCTTCCTCTACTTCGTCTTCTCTTTCTTTTTACTACAAAATATATTCAGCTTAGATGTTAACTCCCTGTACTTCATTTTCTCTCTGCTCTTGCTGTCCAGGACAGGCCTGTTCACACCCGATATGGCCTTTGAAGCCATAGTGAAGAAGCAGATTGTGAAGCTTAAAGTACCATGTCTCAAGTGTGTAGACATGGTGATTCAGGAGCTCATCAACACAGTACAACAGTGTACCAACAAGGTACAACATTCTCTTAAACATAATTTTATGAGTGAATGGACATAGACATACATCAAAGTCAAAGAGTATAATATAATGCTAAAAAAAGTATATAATATGTTTTCATTAAAGTCGATGTGATCTTATTTTACTTTAAAAGTTAGCTAAAACAATCTTTAAATAGCATTTTGGCTATTGGTTAACATTTTCCAATAGTTTGCACAACCCAAATGATATCAGGGGGAAAGGAAAGTCATTAAAAGTTATTACATTTTGATAAAAGATCACCGAGACAAAATAGTTTAAATCTATACTAAATGTAATTAGCTGAACTGAGTGCTTTTTTGACCCATTTAAATTAGACTTAAATACATCTTATATATAATTTCATAATTCCATTTTCTTTTAAATATAGTTAAAGTGTACTGCCGAATGCACTGAAGCATTTATGGTTAACTAAAATATACTGTACCATCATTTCTGTTGAAACTGATTTCTGTTGTAATTACGCATTTATAATGATGAAGTTGCAATGTAGTACATTTAAAATATATTAACTTTAAATGTAATATTGAATAACACACTGCAGTTAAAATTATAATCAAGTACTTAACACGTGTTTAAGTATGTTAGTCAACACATCAAAATGAGTGTACCTTAAAGCACAACAAAAGATTATTAAAACATAGGCCTGGTTTCACAGACAGGGATTAGATTAAGCCATAGTTCAATTAGGACATTTTAGTAGTTTTTTAAAATGTCCTTTAGAAAAAAAAAAAAAAACATTACTGATGTGCATAAAACAATCGCACTGACATATTTTAAGATATGTTAAAACAGCTCAGACATGCATTTTAGTCTGGGACTAGGCTTAAGCCTCATCTGTGAAACTGGGGGATAATGATTTAAAATGTACTTTAAAGTAAGTGTACTTAAATGTAAGAAACAGTCATAAAAGTGTACTCTGTGTACACTGACCTTTTATTTCATTAATATTGCATTATCTTACATTATCAGTTTTTAAACAAACACTTTAAAAGGGACATTGGATGCCCATTTTCCACAAGTTGGTATATGATTCTTTAGGGTCTTCATGAAATGTCTGTAACATACTTTGGTTAAAATTCCTCAATGGTTGTGTAAAACAACACCCTTTTTTACCTTGTCAAAAACAGCTCTGATCACAGCGACCCGTTTCCGTGCATGTCTCTTTAAACGATAATGAGCTTTGCTCACCCCGCCCCTCTCTTCCGTGGAAGAGGAAATAATCATAAGAAATATAAAGTGTGGGACTTACTTCTTCTGGAGGTGCAGCTGAATCATGGACAGTGGTCACTGATCCATCCTTGAATTTGAACTTTTTAGCAAAACCTGCCTTGAATTGTCCCTCATTCAGAAAGCAGTCTGGAGTAAAATGATTTGCACAAACATAAACGCATTTAGGTAGATCGGGAGGCGCATTCCCTTAAAAAACAAAAGTAATCCACTGTGTCTTCTAGTGATGGGAAGTTCGGATCATTTTACCGACTCGGACCTTTAACTCGTTCTTCCCGAGTCACATTAAAGATTCGTTCAAAATGAACGAATCGTTCAAGAACGACCCAACACTAGCGTCTTCAGTGCTCAGATGTCAGGAGTAAATGACGACTGCTTTGTTCATTATTATGTCTAACAACAAAACACCTCAATCGCTTAGGAGCCATTCTTGTCAACACCTGCTCCGGTGTCGAAACAATGGTGGACCAAGTAAAAGTGAATTTTGCATCCGATGTCCCCTTTAAGTACTTTAGATACTACAAGATTTTAAGTACAATAGTGCACATTCAAAACAATTAAGTGCACTTCTTTTTCAAGGCACAAAAGTAATTAAAAAGGGACAAAAAGACAAGGAACTTGAATTAAGAAAGTAATGTGGTAATGTTTTTACCACATTACGTATGTTATGTTTTTTTCTATTTGAACTTTTTTTTTTCTCTTGTCCACAGTTAGAGTCCTTTCCAAAACTACGGGAGGAGACGGAGAGGATAGTGACCACACACATTCGGGAACGAGAGAGTCAAGCCAAAGACCAGGTCAGACCAACAGCTACACACAATCTTTCAAATGAATCGCTCTTTTTTTAGGGAGGGTTTAGTTATGGTTGAAAAGAACTTTATTAGCAGTTTGATTACAAATTATTGATTTATGTTGTATCTTGTTGTGCATATTCATGTCTTTGTTCACTGAACAGGTTTTACTCTCACTAGAGATTCAGCTCTCTTACATCAACACAAACCATGAAGATTTTATTGGGTTTGCAAAGTAAGTTTTTAACAACAAATGACTGGCATAAATAAAACACGTTTAAGAACATGACATGAACAATTTCCCCCCATTTACACATTTCCTTTCAGCGCTCAACAGAAAACCAATCAAACGAGTAAGAAGCCTTCGGCAGGGAACCAGGTGAGTCACAGTGTTTTATGAGCTGATGATATGAACCTGGTATATATCAGAAAGCATCACCTAGCAAGTCTTTTCTGGAAGGAAGTCTCTTTTCTGCTCAAGCTCTCTTGCTCTTTTGGTCACCTGTCTCACATCAGATAATACGTGGCTTATGTGTATCTCTAACATTTTTTCATATTAATCTTGCTCTTGATGGCTTGCGTTTTCACTACAAGTGCTGTAAATTAATATTAATTATTTCTCTCTCTTTGATGGCTGTTTTTTGCCCCCATTCTATCGATTTTCAATGTTTAGCATTGGAGTTTGATCATTGTAACTGATGAAATGGGCTCTTAGCAATTATTAAAAGCCCTAAGCCTAGTAAGAGCTCAAAAATAGCTGCCCACATTTAGTGGCCTGTATTTCTCATTCTTTATCTCCATTTGACTGTACAGTTTTTGAGTGGCTTACAAATGTATTGCATTTCTTCTAATACATGACAAGCAAGAAAAGTTCTAAGGAGAAGAATTTATTGAAGGTGGATGTGTAGCGCACACATGGCCGGCACAAAGGGGGGGCATTCGCAGACCTTGCCCCCCCCAACCGAGTTTCTGTGCCCCCTTCCCCTCCTCTCTGCTGAATGTGATCGATTTCGAAAGTGAAAGTGAAAGCATAAAAAACAGCATGCATACGAAAGCGATTGCACGCTGTCGTGAGCGGCAGCAACTGCACATGATTGCAGATTGCACGCTTCCCTCCAATGGAGGATCTGCATGGGGAAATCTTTGCCCTTACACAAAATTGCCAGTTGCATGGATTCCTATTGAAATGACTGCTAAATAATGGTAAATGTTACCGCACATTTAAAGCCCTAATTGTAGTGCTTCACAGGGTTTTGAAAGGTTTATATTAGGGGTGTCCATACCTGTTCCTGCAAGGCCACTATCCTGCAGAGTTTAGCTCCAACCCTACTTAAACACAACTGATTCAGCTAATCAAGCTCTTCAGACTTCAGACAGGCAAGTGTTTTGGAGCTGGTTGGAGCTAAATTCTGCAGGAGACTCTGAATGGCATTTTATTTTCCTACTGCTGCACCGTTGAGGTGATCTTAATGGGTCTAAGGTCAAACATTTCAGTCTATTCTGTGTGAGTTGCTCTTTCCTAGCTTCAGTGTCCATTTTAAAGGCATTTTTCAGGTTCAGTCATTTAAACAATTCAAGCCTATTTAAATTAATCTCTAGGTACACTACCATTGAAATGTTTGGGGTGAGTAATTCTGAAAGAACTGTTAAATTGTAAGAATATTTATTCTTATTATTATTATTAGTAGTAGTATTGTTTTTACCATATTTTAAAATCATTCTTACCAACCCACAACTTCTGAATGGTAGTGTATGTCAAAAAATGCATGTACTGTAATATACTGTACTATGCACTTATAATGGCAGTCTATAAAGCAACTGGAATGTTAAATGTTAAAATATACAGTTTCTGTAAAAACCACTACTAAAATGAGGATTTAGATAACCTTGCAACTCAGAAAAAAACATTTTTGCTTCATTTTAATTACACATGCATGACTATAAACATGTTTTCTCTCTGTTTTTAAACATTGAGGGAGTGAAAATTATTTTTTAGTTGTAATAGAGCTGGACTAGTATTGAACCTGGAGCGCTCCTGAAATTGCTGATCTATGTTCATATCTCTTACACTGTGCACTGTGCTACATGTGTGCTGTTTGCTGTACATGTCTAATCTTTTCAATCTTCTATTGCTTAGAAAACGATTTAGTATTTGTAGTGTTGGTGATATAGTAACATTTCACAAAGTTGAAGGAATAAATGTGGAGTGGCTGCGTGCCAGGAGAGATGCCCATGCTCACTGGTGCCTCCTTAATGGTTTTATTCTCTCCTCTCTGCTGATGTTTTAGGGTGCTGCCCCTCCTCCATCCAGTCAAATTGTACGAGTCCAGTGTCTGTAAGCCTTACCTACTGTCTACCAGCGTCGCATAGTTTTTGTGTTTGTGTCTATGTATGCCAGAATGCCTTTATGCCTCTGAACACAGCGAAATCACATCTTCCTCTTTCCTGCTTTATTTTCCACCCTTTGTCTGGTGCTGCTGTCACATAAATCAAAGACATTCTGGGACTCAGAAATTCAGATTTTTATGACTCCTGCTAAAACACTCCCTGAACGTTGTTATACAGTGTGTTTTTCATGCACTACACTTCCCTAAAGACTACTCAATCAGATACACAACAGTCCAAAACATGACTCATTTGACCTTTGAACTCTTAGTCCTGATTTGCCCAGCGGTGTTTTTTAAATTAAAAAAACTTAAAGAAAACCTAAACCATATCCTAAAACTTTACTCTATTAATTACCTGCTTCATTTATCCTCCTGTTCATAAATTTGAATCACTGTGCTTTAATTCTGTTCTTATAATGTACTGTCTGTGAATGAACCTCCTTATAGTTTGCAGCCGTGTAAGTACATGAGTAAACAGAGTCGTGTGTATGTGGGCTCTAATGTTAAAGGGGTCATGAACTGCCCTTTTTTTATTATTTTGTACTTTTCTCTGAGGTCCACTTATAATGTTATAAGGATTTTTACATAAAAAACATCATAATTTAGAAGTAATAGGCTATTTACTGTCCTTTTTTTCTCCTCATCAGAACGCTCTGTTTGAATAGGCGTGGCGGATACTGTCCTGTTTTTCTCCTCATCAGAACGCTCTGTTTGAATAGGCGTGGCGGATTGTAGACTCGGAAGTAAACGCCCACTGCTATGATGCTATGGCTAACAGTTGTATATGTTTGACAGCCTACATCCTTCACAGATGGACGCTGCTGCGATTTAGGTCAAAAACTCGGAAATACTCAGTACATATCAAACTATCTGTAATAACAGACAAAGCAATAGTCACCAGCACATAATAAAAACAGTTACACACACTTGTGTGGTGCGACATTACTGTCGGATCCAATATAGTCGGCACAGCATCGTCTTTTAGATTCAATCTCTATGAAAATCCTGCATCGAATTGTGCTTTGTTTGTAACTGAATCCATGGTAAAATGAAGTGAACAAAGGACCAAGTTCGTACTGACGTGGCCTGGATCTTCATTAAAAATCTCTTAATTAAAAAGTTAATCCACTCTTTCCTAATGTTGGGATCAGAAGGAAGGCAGTGCAAAGACTGTGTTTTTCCACAACTTGGAACTGCACGGCCTCTTGTTGTCTTTGGAGCCATCTTTATCGTTTGATTTTTGCATAGACCTGCGTTTGTTGGTGGGGCTAAACAGGCAGTGATGTAGAAGCAGGCGTTCATCTTCTGCAGAGGCTGTGTTTAGCCACACTATTATGTCATAAAGTGGCACATTCCACAACCTATCGTTTTGGCAGATTGGCTTCAATATAAGCTGTTTTTAGATGAACAAAAAAGTTTTGAGTTAAGCTGTTTTTAGACTAACGAGAAAGTTTTGAGTTCTGAAACTCACAGGATGTTTTTAAAGTACAATGACCTCATATCTGTCAAAAGATCAAGGGGATTTTGATTTCTCAGTTCATGACCCCTTTAAATCTATTCATTCTCATTTAAGCATGACTTTAAGGCCTGGAGATAGAGCATTCATCACTTGGTATTTGGCAGCTGCTAAATGGTCTGCTTAGTAGCTTTAAAAACCGGTTGGAATCTCAAACTTCTCTTTGATCATAGTCCATTTGGCCTGTGTGTGTGTGTGTGTGTTTGTGTATGCGTGAGTGTGTGTTCACAATTTCTGATTTTGAACAAAATGGTGCAAGGTGCAAACTTGAGGTTGGTACAGTCACAAAATAAAGCAAATGTTTTTGTGTTTATTGTTTTTTTTGGAGGTTCGATTGGAACAGTAGGTGAATAAAAATGCATTGAAGAAGTTTTATTGTATATTATCAGAATATTGTATCCACTGACCATATGTATAATGGAGAAATTCACTATGGTTGTTTTCAGTTTCTTTTCTTTTCTTTTCTTTTTTTTTTTTACTTTTAAAGGTGAAATTAATCTGCAATTTTGAGAAGAAAAGTTCATTCTAATTACTAAACAACAACTGTTCATAAAGTTGTTAAACTGAATGAATGACACAGAGGATAAAACTCTGTTTTGACAGTCATAATCAGCTTAAATCAGCCAGAAAATGACTCATGTTTCCTACGGGATGTTTTGGACCTTTCCCCCTCCTCTCTTTGCCATTGCGGCCTTCTGTTTCCTTGTCTTTCTTCACCCCCACCCTCTCATTCCTCCATTTATCCTAAGTCTACTAGCTTTTATTATTGCTTTAGTTCTATCTATCTATCTATCTATCTATCTATCTATCTATCTATCTATCGTTCTATCGTTCTATCGTTCTATATATCTATCGTTTTATTGTTCTATCGTTTCTTCTATCGTTTGTTTGTTCTATCGTTCGTTCGTTCTATCATTCTATTCTATTGTTATCATTCATTCTATCTAATAAAAATGCCAAGTAAAACTTAGTACCTGCTTACAGATTTGACTACTTCTTAATTTCACCTTCATCTTTTTATTTCTTAAAGGACCAGAGAATCTCATCCTCTGCCTGTGTTTTTGAACCCAGACCTTTCACCTCTGACTTTTGCCCCTCAGGTGATTCTCAAGGGCTGGTTAACCATCAACAACATCAGTCTGATCAAGGGAGGGGCCAAGGAGTACTGGTTCATGCTCACCGCAGAGAGTCTGTCCTGGTTTAAAGATGATGAGGTGAGTAACTGAATTAGAGAATTAAATGTGCTCTTTCATTCATTTAATGAGTTTATGATCATGGGAAAATACATTTTTCAGTGCTCTGCTTAAAGTTCCCTGTCAGGTTGTGGAATTCATTGGCCGGTCTCTGTGTCAGTCACACTGTGTAGCCTGTCAGGCGGGCTGCCATCTGTCTGCCTGTCTGTGCCTGCTGTACAGGTGCAGGAAGTTCTGCACAGCAAGTGTAGACAGGCAGACAGACAACGCTCTCAGTCAATGGCAGCACAGCCTGCTTCTCCCGACCGGAAGCCGGAAGCAAAGGGGCAAGAGAGAGGACAAAAATAATGTGTTACTAAAATACAAACATGCATGCCCTCTAAATCTGTTGTAAACATTTCTATTCACATCATTGCATTTAACATACATTTTCATGCTCTTATGCCATTTAACAATTTTGTTAAGATAAATCAATGATTGTCTGCTGAGATTTAAAAATTATACAGAAAATTCATAATACTCTTAACCAAGACAGTAATTTAAATGCCGTAACTCATTGCTAGATTATAAAACTCTTTTCACTGATATTTCACTCTTTCATTTTTCATTTTGTTGAATCCCTCTTTTCCTCCTTTGCTTCTTATTTTACTTGCTCCCTTTTCCTGGTATACCCCCACCATCTCTCTCTGTCCATTGGGAATTAAGGCATTTGGTCTGGATAACCCTGACATAGCTGGAAGCCCACCAAGTCAAACTAACACACACACACACACACACACACACTCACACTCACAGACACACACGGATATTGATATACACAGAATCTTAAACACACACAGACGCAGACACACTTACGCTTACCAGTCGTCCTGACTGCCAAATGTATGCGAATATATAAGCAAACACTAATTTTAATGAATTCTGAAACTTGAAACCCCCTCAACACTTCAAATGGAGGAATTCGTATAAACACGAGTATATTTTTTTAAATGTCACACACCTTCAGGCTCAAAATATTCAGATGCAAATGCATATTAACTCTGAATTATAAACTCTATTGGTATTAAGATTAATATGTGTTTAAATGATTGGCTTCCTTTAAAATTAGCATTGAATTTTAGATGGGGTTTTAAATATTACTGGATTTAAGAGGTTGGCTGGCTTTGCAGTTCCTCATGTTCTGCAGAATCCATCATTGCAATCATTTCTTTTGAATATGAGCGTGTGCATGATCCCTCTGATTTTGCCTGGACTTTTCAATTCAAGAATTACATTTAAATTTGAAATTCAATTAAAAATATGAAAATTTGACTTCATATCACACTCTTTCCAATATGCCCATCTCTTTCCCTCTCTATCTTCTTTACTTTCTCTTCATTTCATTCTGTCTCTGTGGTTGGCAGTCTCACTGAGGCCATTCACATTCCTGGGTGGAAAATTGTAAGACTTTGTCCAAACACCATCCAGCCTCCTAGAGCCTGCCGAAAGAGAGACAGAAGAGAGGAGAGAGGAAGATATACAGCCCCTCACTCCTTGCAGCAGATCACATTGCAATTCTCACACATTCTATATGAGCATACACACATTCTTAAATTAAGCGGATCACTTCTTTACCCTTAAAGATGTTCAGATGTTCCCTTGCTTTCTCTAAATCTGTCCCAGTTCTGATGGCGTTCATAGGCCGAGACTGCTGGTTTGGGTTAATCAAGCACCCAACACTAAACAGACACACATTCCTGCAGTCTTCCCTCTCTTTCTTTCTGAGCCGAGCTGCATGAGGGAAAACAGATGACTTGTGCACCCCTCTGCTTCTGTTAGCATTCAGCATAATCACTTTCTTTTCACCTCTCGCCTGTGTCTTACGGCAAGTTAACATGCATGCATGAGACGATTATGCTGAGATCTGGACAAATCGCTACTCGAAACCTATGAAGGCCTTCTGCACATCTCAAGACAGTTCAACGGAAAACTAGCCAGACACCTGGAGCTTTTATATAAACCATATGCGTGCACAGTTCAGCCTGAGTACAAACGTGTTTACACATACACAGCATTAATGACTACTAGAACAGTTTTCTTGTAATATAGTTCAAATGCTAAGTTTAGCTACACATAATGTGGCTGATGTGACGTACATGTTTTGTGGACGATCATCTATTCAAAATTCAAGCTGTCAATCATCGCAGAACCTCTTCTGTGTCATTACCGCCAACTTTGAGTCCACAGAGACATGCAGTATCACCAACACTGGTGTAGATAAAAAACCAAACATAGCAGAGTCTGACTTTTCACCTACAGTCGTTGAGTTTGTGTGTGTTTTTGCTCGAGTTTGAGAGTTTGCGTCGGTTCTCCAGTGATGTAAGTCCATGCACAGTCTAACCAATGTGCAGACTACTGTACACCAGTATGATCCTGAACAGGTAGTCTGAACACTGGGATGACGGAGCAGGAGATAGTTCCAGCTCTCTATCTCACTCTCTTTATCTCTCTCTCTTTTCACCTCTTTTTCTTTATCTACTTCAATCACTCAGTCCAACCCTGCTGGCCTCGACCTTCACAGGAGGCGGTAGAAGATGCAAAATAAACAGGACAGAAATAGACTCCATTGCTTCTATCTCATTCTCAGTCGGGATAACGCCAATGTAGAGGACGGAGAGAGACGCTCCAGATGTCCATTTACCCGTTCTCGACTTTCTCAGTTCCATCTCATCACCGGCTGCTGTTTTTTCCCGTGTCGGTTTGCAGTATCCAGCCTTGACGTGGCACATTCGCTCCCACAGCCGCCTATCTGGCAGGACGTTCATGGAAGGCATAGCAAAAAAGAGGGAATGAGGAGTCAGAGAAGGACGGAGGGAGAGACGGAGAGAAAGAGAGAGAGAGAAGAGAGGGAGGGACCCCACTGGCCATATAAGGGTTGAATGGGACCCTTGGGGAATAAACTTTTGGAGTGGTCCGTTGTTTCTCAATTCCTCTCTTTCTTTCAATCTTTTGGTTCGACTCAATCCTATCCACTCCTGTCTTTCTCCCTCCGTCCTCTCTCAGTACTCCCAGCCATTCTCTGGACTACCCTGCCCAATCTCCCTCTCTTTCTATCTCGCTCCCTCACTAAAGCGGTACCAGATGTTGTATTCTTAACGCCAGCCTGTCATTTCTAACTTTTTTTTCAACCTCTAAAAAGTCAGGCAGGAAGTGGGCCCCTCTGGAATGAAAAAAGAGAGAAAATTTTTGAGGGGAGCAAAAAAGGAGGGGTGCAAGGAGTCAAGGAGGACAAGGAGAGATAGTGTAGTAGAAGTTTAAAGGAATAGTTTCCCGAAAAGTAAAAATTCTGTCATTGTTTGCTTACCCTCATTCTTACAAATCTGTATGCTGTTTTTTTTTTTTTTTGACTAATTGTTGCACAACTCTTGTCGCACATTAATAGTTTAAAGTGATCAGGGCCTGTCAAGCGACACAAAGGAACGTAAAAGTGCTCCATACAACTGTGCTCCATGAAAGTGTGCATTATTCCAAGTCTTGTAAAAACTTCTAAAGTTCTAAAACTCTAAATTTTTGTGAGAAAAAAAAACGTATATAAATAATGTGAAATATTATTACAATTTAAAATAACTATTTTCTATTTTAATAGATTTTAAAAAGTAATTTATTCCTGTGATGCAAAGCTGAATTTTCAGCATCATTACTCCAATCTTCAGTGTCACAAGATCCTTCAGAAATCATTCTAATATGCTGATTTGCTGCTCAACTAACATTTCTTTTTATCATACTTATTATATAGAAAACAGCATTTATTTGAAATAGAAATCTTTTGTAACATCATAAATTTATTTCACTTTTGATCAGTTGCATTATTGCTGAAGAAAAGTATACATTTCTTAAAATAAATCTGTCAATCTGACAACTGATAATGACTTGATAACTTAAATTTCAGTACTGTATTGCGTCAAAAATCATTCTGTATGGCTTCAGAAGACTTAAAACGTAGTGCACAAAATGCATGGACCACTTTTATGATATCTTTTTGTTCTTTTTGGTGCTTGTCAACTCTGGTAATGATTTTTCAAAAATGTTTACTTTGTGTTTGGAATGACATAAGGGTGTATATGATGATACATTTTTTTTGTACTGTTCCTTAAATTCAGAAAACAATCAGGTTTTTGAACATTGTTAGTTTGAACTGCAGAAAATACTCCCTACTCCCTGTCAGACTCAGTTACTGATAGCGGCATCATTCAACTCTCTCTTCCCCTTCTGTTTTTAATTTTTACTCTTTTTAGAGTGTTTCCCCTCACACTTTCATCCCTTGTTCTTCACTTTTTCTCCCACATCTCCGTTCCGTTATTTGCAATGTAATCCAAGCCGTTTCCTGAGACCCCAGCCCCTGCTGTACAGACAGAGGGAGGAGAGAGGTGGAGAGGGGGAGCTCTTTTTCTTTCTTTTTTTTTCCAGATGAAATGTTGTGTTTTAGAGCCTTGGTCCGAATAATGACTTCCACATGTGGGCCCTCACTCTCTATCTCTCAATTCCTCATTCTTTTTCCTTCTTTATTTCTCAATCCTTTACTCAAAGAGTGAAAACTTGTGGCATCTCTCATGCGCATGCTTTTTTGTTTTGTCCTGGGCCTGAAGCCATCCTGAGGATGATCACATGGATCTACAGTGGATTCTTTTTTTGTTGCTACGCTCTTGGCTTTCTTCCTCATAGTAATCTTCCCTAGTTCACACCATTTTAGAATCTGGTTAAAGAGATAGTTCAGCCAAAAATGAAAATTAATATAATTATTTAGTCGCCCTGATGTTGTTCCAAGCCTGTATAATTTTCTTTCTTTTGTGAAACACAAAGGAAGAATTTGCTGCCACTCTTTTCCAATCAATTGCAATGATCAGGGGTTGGAGCTTTCAAGCATCAAATGGATGCAAAACACATAAAAGTTTCATAATAGTGATCCATATAACTTGTGTGCTACTGTATGTTCCACTGTAGCCTTCTGGAGCCACAGTAAAAACTTAAACATCCAACCTTGTTCTCCTTTCCTCTTAAAATAAAGATTCTAAAAGGAGTTTTTGCATTAATGCAACAGAAGAACCATTTTGTGCAATAAAAATGTTCCATGGCCGTTAAAGGTTCCTCATGGAACCATCAAAGCCATCAATCTAAAGATTATGTATTTTAAGACCATCTGCATGTTCATGAGTTTACAAGAGATGTCTGATTCTGAACAAATAGTTATTTTGAATCAGATCTTTCAATTAATTGGTTGATCTGGTTCACAAAAGTTATCTGAATGATTTGTTCATGAATTGGACTGATCCAGTTCTTACGTTGAGTTCAACCGGTGACAGTTTTGAAGATGGAAATCTCCAGTCCCCATTCATTGTAATTGAATAAAGAAGAGCAACCAGTTTTAATCATTTCTTCTTTTGTGTTCCATGAAAGACAAACATCACAGGTTTAGGCCAATGAAAGGGTAAGTAAATGATCACAAAACTTTCCTTTTTGGGTAAACTATTCCTTTAACACTAATTTTGAGAAACTCCTAATACAGTTTGTTGACACTATACTAAATCTTATTACAATCTTTATTGGCTGTTTCTCAAAACTTTGCCATGTTTAAATGCTAAAAAAGGAACCCAGACATGCTGTCAAAGTAGGTAGTTCACGAAGACTTAAGATATCCATTGTCTGTCTCATTTTCTAGGAAAAAGAGAAGAAATACATGCTTCCTCTGGACAACCTGAAGGTACGAGACATAGAAAAAGGCTTCATGTCCAGCAAACATGTGTTTGCCATCTTTAACACAGAGCAGAGGTCAGTTATACCACCTAAACACACTTCAAAAGAGAAAATGTTTTTTCAGATAATGTTTTTTCAAATTTAAAATGATGTAAAGATCAAACACTCAGAGTACACACCATATGAAGTAGATTTATATTGTAGATGCAGCTAAAGAATTCAACCCTCTGAATGACCTGTGTGTGTGTGTGTGTGTGTGAGAAAGTGTGTGTTCTGAGAACTCAGCCATTAGCAAACATGCAAAAAAACAATCCAGTAAACAGTCTACACATATTACAACCAAATTTTATGGCTTTATTGTCCCATTGGGCGTTAAAAGGTTGGACACATTGTAAAGTCCCAAGCATCACTATTAATATTGTTCATAGGGTTAGTAATTTGGGGGAAAGAAAAGTCATTGTCTAGTGGATGATGAAATGAGTGAAAAATCCAATAGATTAGGAGAAACAACATCATAGCATGATGGAAATAGGAAATGTAGAAAAGTTATAATTTTAGAGGTATTTGATATTCCATTCTACGACATCTGGACTATTAATCAGTTAGATCTTTCTTCTCCTCTTTTAATATGTTTTTCTCTGCCACAACCAGGCTTTTTTCCTCTGTATGTTTTTATTCTCTGGTGCAATTTGTTTCCTGAGCTCCTGGCTACTTTCTAATATGGGGTGCATTCAGCTGCGATGAGTGCATTTTGTTAGTCACTTGGATTCTATTTGTGGATAGCCCACCCATGGTGTAATCTCATTGGTCCAAAATGTGTAATTTTTTTCCATGCTAAAATGCTTTTTCTTATCCCAGCTTAATTTTCAGAGATAACTACAAGTTATAAGTCTGGAGTAGGCAAGAGATTTAAATGCTTTTTAAAGAAGTCTCTTATGTTCACCAATGCTGCAATTTTTCGATCAGAAATACAGTTTATAAAAAAACAAATTTGTGAAATATTATTACAATTTAGAGTAACTATATTCTATTTGAATATACTGTATTATAAGATGTAATTTATTCTTATGATGGCAAAGCTGAATTTTCAGTTTTCAGTGTCGCATAATCAGTGTTGGGTGTAACGCATTACAGGTAACACGAGTTACATAATCAGATTACTTTTTGTCAAGTAACTAGTAAAGTAACGCATTACTTTTAAATTTACAATGAGATATCTGAGTTACTTTTTCAAATAATTGGTAGTGAGGTGCAGAGGCACTTCCTTCAGTCTGAGGCTGATTAATTTCACTTTTGGTGTGAAAGGGCCTTTACAGTTGCCAAAAATAAACTTGTGGGGTTTTTTTATATTAAAAACTAATAAGCAAGTCCAGCCCTGGTGACAAAAAGTAATGCTAAAGTAATGCATTACTTTTCATAAAGAGTTACTAAGTAATGCAGTTAGTTACATTCTTATGGAGTAACACAATATTGTAATGCATTACTTTTAAAAGTAACTTTCCCCAACACTGCATGATCCTTCAGAATCAATCTAATATGCTGATTTGGTGCTCAAGAAACATTTCTTATTATTATCACCGTTTAAAACAGTTGTGCTTCTTTTTTTTAGGATTCTTTGATTCTTTCAAAAGAAAAACATTTATTTGAAAAAGAATGTTTTGTATCATTATAAATGACTTTACTGTTATTTTAATGCATCCTTGCTGAATAAATTATTAATTTATTTTCTACTGACACCAAACTTTTGAACAGTAGTCAAAATAATTGTATTCTTTATGATAATTGTGTTTGACACTGTCAGAGGGCTCTGATTCACTGCAAAGGCAATTAATGCACTGTAAAAAAAATTCTGTAGTTTTTACAAAATAATTTGGGCAGCTGTGGTTGCCAGAATAATTTTGTAAAAAATACAGAAAAACTAAACACATTTACGGCCAAAAACTGTAAATTTTACAGTATAAAACTAATTTACAAACAAGAAAATTTGAATGTAAACCAGTAAATTCAACAATGCACACTGCTATTAAAATCTGTTTTGTACCTTTAACATACTGACAACCACCATAATAATGCAGGTGGTAAAAGAGAAAGCCACATGAAGAATCAAAGCTCATCACAAGTAGCTTCGCCACAAGCAGAAGTATATACTAATATATAGAAGGTGCACAGAGTCATTCATGCAAACACAAAACACCATCATGGTAACACACATGATACTTAAATAATGCATTAAACTTTCATTAAACAACAGATTATGTAACATAAAGCCCAAATATACATAAATAATAACAAAAACTATTAAAAAAACATGATTATTTAAACAAAATACTTTCAAATGTGGAGTGTCATGCAGGGAATTCTGGGAATATCAGTTTACAGTTTTTGACTGTAAATTATACATTGATCTGTTATTTTTACTTCTAAAAACTGTAAAATTAACAGCATTTTACTGTAAAATTACATGAAATGTCTGGTTAGATATTTTACAGTTTTTCCCTGTATATAGTACGGGAACTTACTGTTAACCTATTAACAGTTTTTTCCGTAGCGTTTTTACAAAATGTTACAGTTAAAATTACACTTATTTTTTACAGTGTGGGCCATCAGTAAGCATGTCACACTAACTGATCCAAGACTGTCGATTTTGCCTTGCAATGAAAGAAATCTTGTCTCATAGGGCAAAATTGTAGCCAAAATTGTCTCAAGGAGAGTGCAGTGGAGTCACATCTGGCGGTCACAGCACACACACACTTACACACACATCCACATGCCCTTCTACAGGGACATATAACTCCATTTCACATGCACTCATTTATATTTTCTAACATAAACACACTCTACCTTCACATTAATACTTCACAGAGAGCGCAACAGGAACAGGGGGCGCAGTAGGACACACTTCTGGCACATTCCTGGCCAGTCTCTACTTCAGTGTCCCTCCCTGCTCTCTTTTTCTCTCCGTCTCTGACATTCTGTCTCTAGAAGCGCAGCGTCTTTCGATTTCAAGTGCGGGTGTGTCTGGGATTGATTAGCTGCTTAATTGGAGAGATGCTGGTATGCTGCGGTGAACACACACACACACACACACACACACACACACAGCTTTGACAGTGAGAGAAGCATGGCAGACTATTGTAAACACACCCAAGGCTGCACTACAATCAATCAGATGCTCTCACACACTCCACACACACACACACACACACACACACACACACACACACACACACACACACACACCCACCACTCCAACCATCCACACAATAATCTTTAATAAAGTTCGGAAAGGTTGAAGCGAATTACAAGGACATTCGCGCGCTTCACTGAAGAGGATGCGCTGTGAGAAACGCGTGCGTTGCTGATGCTTGCAGTGTGTCGTCTCGCCCGTCGGTATTTTCCTTACAAATGCGCTACGAACACCTCCTCAGTTATGTCGTCATGTCAATTTCAAATGCTGACGCACGCTTTGTGAAGAGTGCTCGGTCATGCGGCTGTGCGCGACTCCTTTTAAGTGGTTAAATATACTTGCATCTCAAAATGACACACACACACACACACACACACACACACTTACACACACACACATCCATCACTTCAAGCACTTTGTATAAAGATATTCAGGCTCTCATAAACTCCGCACTCATTCCCGCTCACCAGCAGAAACATACCACCCAGCACTCCGAAAAATCCCCTTTTTTCTCTCTTGCTCTCTTATACACACACACACACACACACACACACACACACACACTTTAATGATGTAATGATTCATACTGTGCCCTACACACCCACCAACTCCCTGGTGTCAGAGCGACTGGTGATGTCAGGAGGTAGAAGTTGTTTTGTCACAGCGGTGACACTAGTCTGGCATGGTATTGGAAAAGTACTTAAGAGAAATGTAGAGAGCTTTTTTGTTCACTTTCTTCCACTTTTTTTGTCTCAGTTTGCATCAGTGTGCATTACATCCAGGTTCATATGTGATGGAGAGAGTAGTTATGTGCGGTTCTGGACTCACTCAGGACTGTGATTAAAGGAATGTTTTGGATTTAACATAAGCTATGACATCTGAAACGTTGTAACAATTACCACAGACAATAATTTTGACCCGCTCATCAGTTTGTAAAAACAAACAAAAGTAGTTTTTACAGTAATGCATTTACAAAGGAAACCTCTCCTCATAGACACTTGTAAGTGCATCACAGTAAATGCAATTTTTGTTTTTGCAAACCCATAACAGTATTTAGCCCACAACATTCATTTGAAATTACATTCATTGTTATTATAGTTAACTAAAATGAAATAAAAAAACAAACAAATCCGAAATAAAATATAATACTGGATAAAAAAAGAAAAGGAAAACTTACACTAAAAATAAATAAATAAATAAAAATAAATTTGACTTAGCAACTGTTACATTTAGGTTTAGTTTTTTCATGTTTTTATTGCATTTTGGTTCTGTCTTCCTTGTTTTGCCTTTTGACCTAAATTCTCTGTCTGTGTAATTACTCATTTCGTTCACCTGTGGCCTGTATCACGAAGCCGGTTTCAGTTTTTACCCAGGTAAGTTCGTGTTTAGTTTGAGCGGGGTTCGTCACCATGGTAACGGTAACTTACGCCACAAGGCTACCCTGCTCCCAAGCAGGTTTTATTCTGAGTTAGAAATCACAAACCAAAGCTGGACCAATCAGCTCTGAGCAAAGTAACATATATCTGATGCAATAAAGCCACCCCTCTTTATCTCTCACTACAAATTCAATTGTGTTTCAATTCATGGTATTTTTTCATAAAAATCTCTTCAACAGAGAAGTGAATTGCGCTGACTCTCGCGAGAAGTCAATCAAACCAATGCTTTCCATGTTCCGTGTGACTGGCTGTTTGCAGCACGTGTCACACTTTCAGGTGCCTCACAAACTCCAGATCAAACCTGAGTTGACAGAGAACATTTATACCGAGCGTTGTGCAACAGCTGATCCTGATCTAAACCGGGTTGGGTTTGTCAGGTTTTGTCAACTCAAAACTTACTCTGCAACTCTGAGTTTGTTCATCTCGCTTCATGCTACAGGCCACTGATGTAGAGTTAATTATCTTATTAGTTCATCTGTGCATTTACAGGTGCATCTCAATAAATTAGAATGTCGTGGAAAAGTTCATTTATTTTAGTAATTCAACTCAAATTGTGAAACTCGTGTATTAAATAAATTCAATGCACACAGACTGAAGTAGTTTAAGTCTTTGGTTCTTTTAATTGTGATGATTTTGGCTCACATTTAACAAAAACCCACCAATTCACTATCTCAACAAATTAGAATACTTTAATTAGAATAAAAAAACATTTTTAGTGAATTGTTGGCCTTCTGGAAAGTATGTTCACTTACTGTACATGTACTCAATACTTGGTAGGGGCTCCTTTTGCTTTAATTACTGCCTCAATTCGGCGTGGCATGGAGGTGATCAGTTTGTGGCACTGCTGAGGTGGTATGGAAGCCCAGGTTTCTTTGACAGTGGCCTTCAGCTCATCTCTTGTAGCCGTGTTCTTATCAGCCGTAGACTAAATCTAAAACACGTTGTACGTTATGCTGTAAGCCTCTTACCCCACATGCACAACAAAGAGAAACAATAGCCACAAAAAGAGAGAGAAATGAGAGGGAAACAAAAGGAGGAGAGGAACAACAGAATAATTAGGGGGAATGTGGAACAGATGGAGAGGGACGGGCCTCTCTCTGAGTGAAAAAAAAAAGAGGGAGAGAGACTGGGTAAAAAAAAAAAAATGAGACGAAAGTAAAAGATGGGAATGGGAACGATGGATAAAAAAGGTGAGGTAGGACAAAATCTGGAAAAAAAAAAGAATCAGATTAGAAATCATATCAGAGAGAGTGAATGGATATTCAGGTCAGACAGGGCTGAAGGGGTGGTCTGGGGTTTGTGGTTTTGGACAGATGATATGTGCGAGCGAGCGAGAGAGGGTTTTGCCGCACTTGTTTGTGTGAGAGTGTATGTGCTGCCATGGGAACCGGCTAACGACAGATTACTTTTGCTTTAGGAACGTGTATAAGGACTACAGGCATCTGGAGCTGGCCTGTGACACTCAGGACGAGATGGACAGCTGGAAGGCCTCTCTGCTGCGAGCTGGGGTTTACCCAGAGAAAACCACAGTAAGCAAAGGAACCCACTGGCTTCTGTACCTGTATGCTAAACCCTGCGGCCTAAGACATCAAAATAAAGGTTTCAGTTTAAACCAAAAAGGGCTTTATAGCCGGATGTTATGCGGATCTTTATAAGCTCCACTCAGAACTTTTATTCCCTACTTCTTTACAAAACCAACACCATGTGCTGGTGCTGTAAAAGAATAGTTTAAAAATGGCACATTTTTTTTGACTTTCGTACTTTCGTGGAACACAAAAGGAGAAGTTCTGAAGAAAGTTCACGCTGCACTTTTTCATACAATGAAAGCAGGCTAGACCAAAAAACACTCTAAAAAAGCACAATAGAAGTAGTCCATATGATATAATTTTCCAATCCTGTGTCCAAATATGCCTATTTTCCACCTATATAGACAAAAAAATGTATGTGAAGTGAGTAATATGTACAAATTCATACTATTTCTAAAACAGTAGGCGAATAGTACCTGGATGACCTACTACTGTTGAAGTGCACATCTGATGGACACTTTACTATGCCCTGCTATATAGCACACACTTTTTAAATGGTCACGAAATTTGTTCCTCATCAAATGTAGCTATTCAGACAGTATATGCGATTTCGGGTGCAGCTCTTGTCTTGTCTAGTCTTTTTTTGTGTTTTTCCCTTTTTTTTGGCACCAAAGCTCTCAAACGTAATTTGCATTTACACATATTCAAATTTCAAGGCGAATGGTTACGAGACATGAATATGAGATTCTAGCATATAACAATGATTTCAGTCTGTTTCTCACACATGTCTTATGGTTTCTTAAGACTTGAACTAGTGCACAACTCATGGAGAAATTTTATGATGCTTTTCTGTTCTTTTTTGCACTTTCATTCATTTTTATTGCATGTAAAAGAGCAGCATGAACATTATGCCTAATGTTTTCTTTTATGTTCCATAAGAAAGCCACAGGGATTTGAAACAACATGAGGATCTAAATGATGACAGAATGTTCACTTTTGAGTGAATTATTGAATCAGAAACCAAATATGCTGATCTGAAGAACCTATGAAAAGTATCAGCTTTTGGCAATCTCCAAAGAATCAAATATAAACCAACTCAAGAACCCTTTACTGAACCTGAGTGAATGAAAATTATGTCATCAATTACTCAGCCTTATGTCGTATCAAGCCAATAAGATATTTTCATCTTCAGAACGCAAATAAATATATTTTTAACGAAATCTGAGGGATATCCCTTCTTTCATTGAAAATCCATTCCACCAAAACCTTGATGATTCAAAAAGTTTTTGAAGACATTATAAAAGAAATCCATATGAAGACATAGAGCACATAAAATATGGGAAACAGTAGCTCAAATGTACTTGTGTGTCAAGCAAGCACGTTTGAGCTTTTGTTGACCATATTTGATGTGCTATATGTAAGTGTGTTTATCGATGTTTATGTGTAAATTAAATCTAGTCATCATATAAAGCTATCATGTCTCTTCAGAAGACTTTGATTAAACTGCTCCTTTCATATGGATTACATTAATGATGTCTTTATGGACTTTCTGAAGTGTCAAATTTTTGGTGGAATGATTTGATTCGAAACACATTTGTGTTTCGAAGATGAACCCAAAAGAAGTTTTGAACAAGATGAGGGTGAGTTGAGGAACCACTGAAGAACTTTTATTTTTATTGTGCACCAGTCTGCACAAGCTGCAGTGTTCTAAAAAACATAAAGAGATTATACGTTCACATAATAACCAGGCCCACATGGAATCCATGCACACAGAGCATTGCAGAAACCTTCACAGATTCCCGCAGAACTGGAGCGCCTGGCGCTCATAAATGTTTAACACATTTCACATTTTATTGCACAGAATTCTACAGATTTTGCTCTAAAATCAGTGCATGAAAAGTTTGCCAATTCCATCTAGGCCTTCTAATAACTGTGCGCTGTAGTTTGGATAACTCTCGCTCCTGTAGTGTTTCTGTGTGTGTGTGTGTGTGTGTGTGTGTTTGACTCTACGGCTGCAGGCTTCATGGTGGCTGTGCTCTGGGCTCAGGAGCTCTGCTGCATTCCTCAGCTCTTGTGTCACACCATGGAGGATCAGCGAAGGAGGGGGCTTTGAGCTCTGTTTCTAATCAGCTCCCTTGCCTCTTTTTTCTTCACGCTCCCCTCCATCCCCCTTTTTCTGTCTTTATGTATGCTTTGGAGCAACATGTCGAGTGATGTCACAGTTCTGTCAGGGTTCCCCATAATTCGCTCTGACAGAAGTCTACCACACCCCCTCCGACAGTCACTGAAGTAAAGCTCGTTTTTTCCTTGCTTCTTTCCTTTTTCCTTGCTTTTTCCTTGCCCCACTTTTTCCTTGCCCCCCCCAACATCTCTTTTCCAGCTTGGTTCTCTTTATGTATGTGCACTCATTGCCCTCTGAAACATCTTTGTCATCCCTCAATGTTGACTGTACCTTTCCTGTCCACACGTCTTCATCTGTCTTTTTTCTGATTGCTCAGGTGGATGGAGAGGGTTCAGCTCAGGCGGAGAGCTTCTCCATGGACCCTCAGCTAGAGCGTCAGGTCGAGACCATCCGCAACCTGGTTGACTCATACATGAGCATCATCTACAAAAGCATCCGCGACCTGATGCCCAAGACCATCGTGCACCTTGTCATCAACAATGTCCGTGCCCTCTGCATCTAACACTGATACAGAAGGAAAACAATGAATTGAAATCAAATAGATTTGCTTAGAAAAATTAAACCAGTAGAGCTTTTTATGTAAGATGCAGAGATATGTATTCATTCATACATTTGTATACTATAAAAATAAACCATATCATGTTGACATTAGGTCTCCCCAGCAGGTACATTTGTTTTACATTAGTGTTTTATTTACAGTATTTATTACATTATTAGATTATTAATTCATCATTGCAACCAATGTACTGTACAATTTCATAGCTTTTTTTTTAGTTAATTTTATAGCTTTTATAGTTAGTATACCTTAAGATGTAATAAAATTATACTTCCATACACTATAAATTATTAACTGAAAACTGAGACAGTTTTCAAATATCTAAGTATAGTAATGTATACATTTAAAGTATATACTTAAAGTATATACAGTGCAAAACTGTTTTGCACTTGCATTGTAAAAAGAAATAGTATTCAAAATCTAGGTTGGGTTAGTCTGAAAATGTGTAATTCTCAGACCTTCGCTCAGAAAGAAAATCATATTTTAAGGCAGTATTGCGCAAATATATTGGCATATTTCAAAATATTGTTTTGAACCTGACAGAGTTTTGACACCATGCTAAAATTTCTGGTTTTCAGTGTAATTAAAGGGATAGTTCACCCAAAAATGAAAATGTGATGTTTATCTGCTTACCCCCAGGGCATCCAAGATGTAGGTGTCTTTGTTTCTTCAGTAGAACACAAATGGAGATTTTTAACTCCAGCCGTTGCAGTCTATCAGTCGTAAAATGTATGGCAATGGTAACAAAATCTATGAGAGTAAAAAAAACATGCACAGACAAATCCAAATTAAACCCTGTGGCTCGTGACGACACATTGATGTCCTAAGACACGAAACGATCGAACTGATAGACTGCAACGGCTGGAGTTAAAAATCATAATTTGTGTTCTACTGAAGAAACAAAGTCACCTACATCTTGGATGCCCTGGGGGTAAGCAGATAAACATCAAATTTTCATTTTTGGGTGAACTATCCCTTTAATTTGACCATCTTTTTGGCCCAATTCATTTTATGTTTAAAAAACAATTCCATAATATTTAGTTTCACTGTGGTTTTGTATTGACTTAAAGGGATAGTTCACCCAAAAATTAAAATTTGATGTTTATCTGCTTACCCTCAGGGCATCCAAGATGTAGGTGACTTTGTTTCTTCAGTAGAACACAAATGGAGATTTTTAACACAAACCGTTGCAGTCTGTCAGTCTTATAATGGAGGTGAATGGGAATCACGGCTTTGAGAGTAAAAAAAAAACATTCACAAACAAAACCAAATTAAACCCTGCGGCTCGTGACGATACATTGATGTGTAAAGACACAAAATGATCGGTCTGTGCAAGAAACTGAACAGTATTTATATCGTTTTTTACCTCTGATTCACGCAATGTCCGAACTGTTCGAACTTTCCTGAGCGGCGGGGCTTCCTCCTGAGCGCGTTCTCAACAGCAGGCGCGTGAGGCGTCTTCTTCTTCTTCTTGCTTTACGGCGGATCGCAGACTTATAAGTGCATTACTGCCACCTAGCTCTCAAGTGGATCATTGACACTCCTAATTGAGATTGCAGATAGTGTCAATGGTCCATTTGAGAGATAGGTGGATTTTTGGGTGAACTATCCCTTTAAGGACCATTCACACCAAGGACTAAAACGATAACTTTATAAGTTTTAATTATAGTTTTAAGTCCACACAACTATAACAATAACAACAGAGGAACAACCTTTTCACAACATTTTTTTTTCTAGCTGATAAACAATAAAAACATTTAACTGCAAAATTCACTTGACTTTAAAGAGTCAAACATTTAAAGGGGTCATATGATGCGATTTAAATTTTTCCTTTCTCTTTGGAGTGTTACAAGCTCTTGGTGCATAAAGAAGATCTGTAAAGTTGCAAAGAGGGGTCGTGTTTAGTCACTATTTAGTGTGGTATTTTTTGACAATATTCACTCATCATGACAGTAAAATAGGGCATTCTAAGTCAATATACTGCAGTATTTCCTCTCTCAATCAGTAGAAAATGTGGTTAACACCCGGTCATGCATGAAAAAAAAAATACCGTCATATACCGTGAAACCAGTATAATTTTGAAAAATACCGTAATATAAATTTTTGGTCATACCACCCTGCACTAGCGGGGCATAGAGGAGAAACAATAATGTACAGTATGTGAAAAATAATGTGTGTTTTTTTACCTTAAACCACATAAACACATTTCATTACACCAAATACACAAAATAATGTTCTTTTTAGCAGCATCATATGACCCCTTTAAAGAGCCAGACGAAATTAACAGCAGTGCATGCTTATTATAATAATCACAGTGTTATCATTCCTTGGTGTTGATGCCAATAAAGTTATCACTAAAGCTATCAATTAGTGCTGGGCGGTATGACCAAACATTTATATCACGGTATTTTTCAAAATTATACC